AAGATATCTCAGACTCGCACCCGTAGTAAAGCTTGATCAAGAAATTTCAAGAAGCAAAATTTTTAAACAACTTGTGCGGATTTTTACTTTCTGCAAGACGTGGGTTCTGTATGATCATATGCAATCTTACGTACGAATGACACATGTTTCTGAGTATTTCTTGCTGGTTTCTCTCGCTAGTCTGCTTTTGCGTTTCTTGTGCGTTTTTGACGCATATCAATGGTCTCACGTCGTTTCTCTTTCATGTCTTTTAATCATGTATGGGCGATGTAAAAAGTTTAGGAAAAGAGTGGATGAGTTAGAAAAACTGTAAAACTATTTCAGTTCATTGAATAAATCATGTCCAGATAGAAAGAAAGAATTTAAAATAAAAATAACATCAATTTTTTAAAAAGAAAAATCAACAAACAGAGCATTACAAAAAAGTGTGCTTATTTCGTGGATTTCGTTTTTCAACAACACAAATTCATAGGATGAAAGTTTCGAATTTAAACAAGAACAAAATAGAATTTTTGTCAACGTTTCTCACACTTCTCTTCTGTTTCTGTATAGATTAAGTTTCTAAACGTTTTATCCATTATTCTCAAAAATTTTTATGTAAACAAAAATCGTGGAGACCCGAAAAAAAGAGTAAGAAAAGCAGTCCTTTCAAGAGTACGTCTGAAAAAATGTGTTTTCTCCAGCAGGTAATTTTCTTTTTTATGCGTTACTATGATTCACGCAGCTCTGACTCACCCCAATCCAACTTTCGAAAGTACACTTACGCGAAGCTTCAAGGGCAGATCTTCTAAACCATACTAACTAAATCCCTATAAACATGGCGTTCAAGTTAAAAAGCACACCGACGGTTCAGGGTAAAGCGTCCTTCTGGTCCTAATAATTTGGATCAGCGCTGCTTTCTCCTGATCTGAATGCCATACTAAAACTGTGTTATCAAATAATCATAATTCAATTTAAAAAATGACCAAAACAAATTAATGAATTGCGGATCGCACGTCAACGCGAGAATAGCAGATGGTGCTGCTAAGTAGTATTGTGCTTTGAAATTAAAGTGAATTCCCCGCAGCAATATACTTCTGCCACTAAACAAGTTATTCGAATTAGAAATTGCCCTTTTTTGAACATTTCAAATATAAATCGCGGCAAAAACAAAGAAATTATCTAACGAGTACGATTTTTACTCAAATCGTATGGAATCGTGCAACACGAACATGTACGATTTTCACAAAACGATTTTGTATGAATCATACTGCACTATTTCATACGAAATACCTGACCGTCATATAAAAAAAACGTATAATAAGAAATCATACAATCCTACAGTACGAATCATATCACTTCTTACTTCTCCTACTAGCTTGCTATCATTCGTCGACCTCGGTATGCGTAACATAATAACTATTGTTAGATTCTTTAAGATTATACATCTATCCTCATAAACTCCATCACGAATAGTACAGAGAAATCGATCACGAATAGCACAGAGAAAAGTCAAAAATAAATTCTGTTTTTTCAACAAGAGAAAGTGTAATGTCTCGTATAAAGCATCGACAATGATTATGCGAATATACGTGTGTACAATAAATTATGTTTGCCTTGTAATGCATATTATTGTATATGGAAATCATTTTAATGGTGGAGCAATGTCATGGCAGCCTGCTGACAGTATTGATACAACAAATCCAATGCAAATAATAATTACTCAAACATATTCATGGATCTACTCATAAAGCGTAATTTGTGCAAAGGCTATGATTGCCAATCAATCACCACCACTAGCTATAAAATCATGGCTGTGTATCAGCGACATTAAATTCTGTTACTCGTTGTTCAGATAGTGGATATAGTTGTAATGCATTATTAATGCATTACAACTATATCTTCGACAGCGATATCTACAAATATATCAGACTTTACAGTCTATGGTTCATTAAATGAACCATAGACTGTAAAGTCACAACAAACATCAAATAAACAACAAATTAAGGTTGCATGTCACTGAACCCGAATGGGTCATAAACCCATTCTCTGCCTTCGCACTGAAGGAACTTCGTTGAAATCTGACCGTACCATTGTCATATTCAGCCTTACAATCAGCTTAACATCAGCTCTGCTGGACTAGCCTAGTCCAGATCTACAAGGAGCTAAAAGGTTAATATACAAATTCTGCGTTAAATAAAATTATACATAATAATATTAGATTTAGTTTAAATGACGTTAGCGATTTACACACGAATGGCAGTTGACATGTGGACCTAACAATGCCATTCATTTTTTAATCATGTCAAAAAGTACAACGAAGTTTTTAAATCAGCAAGTAATTATTTGAATCGAATAATCGAATATGAATGAAGAGAGCGGTAGAATATGAGTGGTGCGATAACTATAACTGTAAAGACAGAGGTTAATATTTTTTCGGAATGGCTATTGGCACTCCCGTAAGTGTCAACAAGGAGTTATTGGTACTGCCATACAACAAAATCTGCTAGAAATGTCAACAAGGACGTCATCTGACATATGAGCGGGCCGACGTTTGAGCGTTCCTCGAACTACACTTTGAGTCGCAAGATTCCGATTGTATATTCGTTTCGTCACAGGTATCTCGCTCGTCGGGAATGGGAGAGGGCAGGTGGATAGTGAGAGTGAGTGAAAAAGCTGAAAGTCCAATACATGAAAATTTGTATAACAAAAACTTATAATGAGAGCAAAATTTCCAGTATGCAGCGTCATGTTGAACACTCAATGCACCACAGCTGTAGCAAGCCGATGAGTTCGAAGAAGTTTAACATTGCGGTAGACCAGTGGCGGCGCAAGGTCAGTTTTTCAGGGGAAGCAATAAACTTTAGTATGCATAGAAAGAAGCAAACATCAAAGTTTCATCTAGCTGAACTAGTGCGTGGATTATATAGAAGTGAAAATGGATCCCCTATAGTTAATTTAATTATTATTCTGGAAGTTGGCAGAGTATAGGATGCCGAATTAAGACTACCATGACCAGAAGAGAAAGCCGGAAAGTCATGCTAGTCAACAACTCCTTAACAAATGATTTCGCTTGTTAATTGGCAGAGAAAGTACATCTATGTCTCATATTCAGCTCCGTTATTGACAGCCCTGTATCTCATAAAGTAGACTGTACCCTTTTCTAAAAAATGTCTCGGCATATAGTATATCTTGTGTACTTCAAACTGACATAGAAAACGAAGAGGTGTACATTCTAGTTAGTTTTATTTTAATCTGTTAAGTTCACAGAATATAGAGTAATTTTATAGTGAGTGTAGCGAACATTTGGATCAAAAGCAAAAAGAAATTTCAAACTTAGAAGCAATATCTATCGTATATCTCATATATCAACGTTATATCGTTCTTTTCTGTTCTCTTCTTCTATTTTAGGAAAAATATCTCTGGTTCACTGTCTATCGTTTCTTACTTTTCTTTTTTCGTTTCTGTGAATAAATCTATCAAATATAGAAAGCGCTTAAAGCGATGAACAATGTGAGGGCATCCCTAAGAGATCTCTGCAGATTGGTTTACTGAAATATCGGATGATCTCCTTATTGACAACCCTTGCAGTTCTCAGTACCAATTTTCTTCAATTGGATTTTTAACCTTTTCACTTGCTCTCACTATCCGCCTATCCTATCGTCTCCGGGATGAGCAAGATGCCCTGGACGACGCGAATCCGAATCTTGCGAGTCAAAGTGCAATTCGAGGAACGTTCAAACGTCGGAGTGCTCATATGTCGTATAACGTCCTTATCGATACTACCAGCAAAGTGTTTTGCATGGCTGTACTAACAGGTTCTTCTTGACACTCCCTGAGAGTGCCCATAGTTCGTAGTTGACACTGACGGGAGTATAGCTTCTTCTTGGCACTCTCGGGAGTACCAATAGACTCACCCATATTTTTTGTAGTAATAATACATAATTGGGACTATGAAACATGGAGTTTATTGACCTAAATTTAAAATGTTTTTCTTATTCTCATATGATAACCAAAGAACAGCCATATTCCATGGTCAATTGATCTTATATTTCGCAAGCTTTGTTCTACAACGATAACGACGCACCGTCTATGCTTTCTATATCAACATCAAGACAAAATCGTTATGTTCTATTCTGTCATCTTCGTATATTTGGAGATCTCTATGAATTCGTATACAGTTTGACTCTATTCGATAATGATTTCAGTGGCTCGCTTTCATTTTTTCCAAAACGAAATCATTCTTTTATAAGAAAAAATCAAGACCCATACGACCAGAATATGTGAGCTTTCATTGAATTTTCTATACTATCCCGGACAATTCATATAGACAACCCCCGTGAAATCTAAACAAGTTTCGAGTTGTCTTTTACATGACATTTTTGGTTCTTTATTACGATATTAAGTGGGATCTCTGATAATAATTGATTGATATTGTAGATCGATTGGGATAGCCAAAATATATGGTACATATTGATCGAAATTTTATCTTGATTGAGATATGAAGCATGATACCGTACTGGCTGATCGACGAAACGACCAGAAGCATTTATTATTCTCAATTACAGTTTAAATGTTTTAACCACTTTATATTCCCGATGTGCGGCCATAACCTAATTTCTGTTTCTATAATCTAAAATAATAATAATATCTACGTCTTCGGGATCCTGTATTCAGCTGATTGCATGTTGTGTTTAATCATTTGTTATGACTTTTCGCACAGTTATTTTCTGATTACATCATTATGACACATAAATGGTATCAGCCATGTTTATTTTATTTTTTTCATTAAAACAAACAGCGTGTGCGAGTATGACGACGTTTAGAAAAAAATAAAATAAAAAATAAATAAGAACTTATCTTATCTATAATATCACAACACTCTAGAAACATGGTCGCATTATTTGCACTACACAGCATAAATATAGGAGGAAAGAAACGCGTTTACATCTGTGAAACATTCATTCTTACGGAATATCTCAAATATCAACTTAATTTTTATTAAAAAGCAGGCATAAAATATGTTGTTCTGGTTAACAGTTATCACCGCATTCTTATGTGTAACATATTCTGATGGTACATGTACATATGGTTGTACATGTTATAGTGATAGTACTTGTACATACTATTGTAACAATAATATGTGTCAATATTCCATTCCATGGGGTAATAAATGTTCTGGTCATTATCTTCATCCAAATGAATGTGGTACAGGCGCTTATTGTGATTCAAGTACATATACATGTCGATATTTAAAGAGCACAGGTGGATACTGTTCACTCGATTGGGAATGTTATTCTAACTATTGTGATTATTCCTCAATGACATGTGAATACAGAAGTACAACGCATTGGTCATTAGTCATCACATTACCGGTTGTATTCACTTGTTTAACACTGTTTTTGATTATTGTCATTGTGGTTGTACGTACTCGACGACGTCAACTTTTCGCACATCAAGCTTTTGCTGTTCAGCCACCATATGGATATCAAAATCCAACTGTTGTGTGCAATAGTCCACCACCCTATCCTTATCAACCAGATATGAGCAAGCATTAGACAACAGAATATTGAGCATATATCCAAGTTTTCTGTCATCTAACTTTTTATTTCCTAATTCTTAAAACACCATTTTTTTCAATGAATTTTTTCTTTTAATATAAAAAAATAAAGTTTTGAAATTAATTTCTTTTTATATCTGATGAAGACCACCGCTAGCAGCAAGCTTTATATTGTCAAATTGAAAAAAGAGAATTATTAGTGAGAATCAGTTGGTATTAGCGAGGAAGTTTACGGAGAAGGCTGAAAGTTAGTAGGAATCAGCATTTGTACAAAAGTAGCCTTCAAACTTTATTTGCCTTTTGAAGGGCGCGATCGTGTACTTTTTATCGCAGAGGCAATTGATTTATCCATGTTACCTTCTATAGATGCCATTAGAAAAGTGAGCTTATTTATTGATAATTTTAATCAAAAATATTCAAACATTGAATTACGTCATCGCTCATGTAGCATTCTAAACAGAAGAAAATGCGACGAATAACTTCAGAAAACAACGCAATTGGTACAACGCGATAAACAAACACCTGAAAAAAACAAAAACGTTTGCCACGATTGATTTCGATTTTAGGATTTATAACATTCATCGTCGAGGTGGTCTTAATTCAGCTCAAAATGATGTCAACAAAATGATAAACTCAAAAACATGCTAAGGCTGTTCTTACCACGCTTCACAACGCAAAAATTGATGTTTTCTATCCAAAACACTGGCAGTTGTTAGGCACCAGAATAAAACCTGAACTTAAGAAACATCGTCACTTTGAACTTGTTAATAATTGCTAATACCCTGCACAACAACAACAACAAGAAAGGAATATCCCCCATACAATAGAAAGTACTTATAAAGGTTCACAAATTTTGATTCTTTCATGTGCCTAGGAGTAATTAAAATAAAGTGAGACTGAGTTAGGTTACATTTGCAACTCTGTGATTGTATACAATATGTTTTTGGTTTTTACTCTTGTAATTAGATTTGAAGTATATATCATACCCATAGAATCTTTTTTTCGTATTTATTGCATTATAATGTGTTAGGGATATCGTAATACCTTGTAATGTGTTAGCTTTTCCATTGTGCTATAACGCGATAAATTTAGAAAAAACTACCTTCAATACATTGAAACGCATTAGCGTAACGCGTTGCGTGGGGAAAATTGCCCAAAACTTGAAATTATAGTGTTATAATACATTTTTATCAACGACTTTCGCATATTTTATAATGTCGCAACGCTATCAATTCGGCTAGCGCGTTATTAATTTGCATGCTGTTCGTGCGTTGTAAAGCTATACGTGACAGTGGTAATAAGTGTGCTGTAGGAATTTAAGTCTTAAGTCAGTAACGTATATGTCTGATATAGTTGAAGTCATTTTTTCTAGACCAACTTTTCGAGAGGAATCGATTGGCAGTCTCAGAATTTTATGGAAATGTGTCCTTAACGAGAAAACCATGTATTTTCGTTTTGGATATTGTCTAACTCGTTGTAACGCATTAATATCTATCGTGTTACACCGAGTTCTATTTTCTTATCTCATTGCAATGAGATAGAAAAGAATAATGTATTGTAATCTGTTAGATATTAACTCGTGACAATACGATTGTTATTTAATGAGTTAGAAAGCTAAAAAAGATTTTTCCAAATTTATGACATTATAATTAGACAAAACATCTAATAACATTAGAATCTAACGTATTATAAGACGGTAGACAAATATAATTGGGTTATAAAGAGCTAAAAAATTGAGACGCATTATAATGCTATAAATTCGTGACGACATTACCGCGAATACAGAAAACGACATTACAGTGAACGACGTTACCGCGAAGACTCGTTTATTGGAAAAGAAGAACAAATGAGCGTGGTTTTGTACTTTGTATATCATGTGGAGGAAGGTGGGAAGTGGGGAGAGGGCATTGTGAGAGTGAGTTCGAAAAGTATTTTCACATAAAACATATTATCGTGATGGGAAACTAGATATCTGTGGCTGTATCAGATAATGACTAGTCACCACATAACG